GCGTCTCCTGGTTGGACGGATGTCTCGACCAGAATCGTTCCGTCTCTCTCGTTCGCTCTCTTAACCCACCTCCCTTTCTCTCTCTCTCTCTCTCTCTCTCTCTCTCTCTACGTTTTGTAAGAGTTCTCATCGCGTGAATCACACTAACCGAAATTCTAAGTGCATCCGATTCTCGAAAGTCCATTTTCAGAATGTCCCAGCTCGAGTCGAATGGTACGAGACAATTTTGGAAATGCACGTGAGATGTTCCCTATTTTTTGATTTTAGATTTAAAAATTGTCTAGTCGCGTCTACTTTTGTTACAGATACTTTTTTTACTTGTAAAGTCATAAATAATACAATGACTTCCATGTTTTCTCATAGCACGTGTACACTGTTGTATATGCGTTATACAAAGCCCGAAGATTAAGTGCAAAGTTCTCGTTGAGTTAGAAAGGGATATACTGTTCTTAAGTTGAACTTTGTAATTTAAAAGCTTTTACGGAACTTGAGATATGTGTATACGGATATACAGTTATACTGTATATTTGTGCTCTCCAATAAAGCATATAACCTTAATCCAGGTTTTTGGTCTTTATGTGGCGCCGACGGTGTTAAGTGTTTTTCTTTTTAATTCCACGTAACGGCATCTTCAACGTGGAGCATCGAGACGCGATACTTCGAGGCCAAAGTGTAACGTTCTCCGTGCCAATTAATTTTATAGGTTTCATGCAGCGAGGGCCTAGCGGCCGAAATTCCGTCTGTGGTTTTCAAAGCCATCGTTACACGCGACCGTATTGCGGGATACCGGCCTGTCTCTCTCGGATACGCCACGAAGAAGCACCTTGGGTCTGGTTGGTTTTGATCTGCCGCCATTGGCGTCTTTGGGCTTCCTGGGAATTGCAATTTGTCGCTGGTTTTTTTTATGCGCACTAAAGATGCGATTAATGGCCAGAACTTTCGTGACGTCGAATAGTCTTTTTGCACTTATCGTTCCCGCGGGGTTCGATCACCGCAGGAATTGCAATACGATGTGCGACTTGAAGATTGTAAGTTGGTTGATTTGCAAAACTTTTTGAAAGTTTTTTTTTTTATTATTTTAGTACACGTTGCAGACTGTATATTTTTTATTACATTTTTTTAAATTCATTATTGTGGCATTATATTACGTATGAGGTATTTTTTACAGGGACATATGTGTATTCTCCCTTTGCCATGTGACGTTACTTAATACACCCATAGACTATGGCTTGTTGTACCCAACTACGTGTAGTTATCATCTGGTTGCTATGCACTCGGAAATGATATTCAAATTTGACGTTTCAGAAGATTTGATTTATTATCACTTTGTGAGCAAATATCGTAAATTATAACTTGTAGTATTATCACAGATGACGACCCCGTTTATTATAGTAGTTGTTGTCTCCGGTATTCTTTGTACGTTAATTATCCCAAACTCGCACCTGAGTAAACGTATATTACACGTATTCACAGCAGGTGACAAACCCCCTTATACTTGGCGCGACTGAATTTTGAATTTAAAAAAAAATTTAACGTCCAATTACGAAATTGCAAGTATAGAAAAAAAAAAGAGCAAAATCATTCTATACAGTCTCCCCTCTGGAACTCTGTTACTCAATTATTCATTTAAGCGACAAGAGTCATTTCGCAATTCTACACTGTTAACAATTGCTTAGCTCAAGAGACGTCAGTGTAGCTGCAGTCGAATAACAAGAAGTATCTGCATACCGCTGCACTCGATTATACAGTAATTATAAATGACGTAAAATAATTAAAATTGAAAAAAAAAAAAAAACTAAAATTAAAAATATCAATAAGAAGGAATAATATGAAAAAAATTCAGTTTCTACGTGTCTTTACTTTGTTTTCCTTTTGTTCCTAAACTCTTTTACACGCGTAATGCAGAGGCGTCGGGACGCCCCGGAGAGGGACAAATCGGACTATGCATACAAGTCATCTCATTCAAGCGTCCTTCCAGCCGTGCAACGCATATCTAGTATATACACGTATATACCTATACGTATGTACCTATTCATTTACAGCTTTGTTATACGTGACACGTGCTACTGATGTAGTCGTTTACTTTTCTCCTTTGCTTACGCACATATTCACGCCCATCAACGCGCTTAGATCTTTTATCATCTTCAAGAGAATCCACATTGCATAGCGCCTGGCGCGTAGGCTGTTTACCATGAAAAAAGATTTTAATTAGCACAGATCGTTAAAAATTCTATATTTGATGTTGAGCATTTTTTTCACAAATTTTTTTTTTTGCGGTAAATAAATGGCATTACTATTATTATCTCGTCGGTTACAATGTATGCAACTGAAGCCTGTCAGGTTGCTGATAAGAAAGAGCCATGAGGATCGCGTATAGATAAGGCTGTATAGAAAATTGGGAAAGTTAAACTTGTAAAAGTTATTTAAGTGATCCTATTGGTCCGGTAAATATCGAAGAATATCTATACAGCTGATTGGTCGCGTAACATGTGTGGGCGTCAAATCCGTAAATGTCATGAGTCACTACGTAACTCATATTTGTATATTACATATGTACAGTCCTAAATATGGGTCTGTATACTTTTGTACGTATTAACTTCCCACACTGAGGCTTATCTTTTTGTGCATTGGACTCACTTTCTTTAAGTAGCTTCCATCGACGACACGTCGCTCGCGCGACATATTTTTCTTATCGTTGCTACGCGGATACGGCTTGAAATTCGGTCGCGACATTTCACTTTTAAAGATACGTTATTTTACAGATACTTTTTTTTATTTTTTAACTTTTTCGATGTATTTTATCGTGGAACCTTTTGTTTAACAGTTATACTACTTACAGTGGTAGTACGTTAAATTCGTTAATTTTTGTAGAAAAATATAAATTTTCGATTTACGCATTGATTTTGTGGCAAATGATTTTTTTTTGGAATATTTTACAAATAATTTTTTTCAATATTTTCGTATTTCTTTTGTGTTTACCACCGGCTTTCACTTACGGGAAACGAATTGCAGTATGTAAAAAAAAGTTAGTCATGTGGTACACAGGTGTTAAGTGCACATAGTATGCGCGTTTGACCGCGTGTTATTATACAATTAGCAAGCAGTATGCTGCAGGCAGGTATACGTGTACGTTTTAACGGAGTGAAGCATGGATAATTATTACCAATTAGACGTAACTTCGTAATTGCTACTTCCTCATATCTTCGAGAGGAATATTTTGTGCTTTCAAGCATATTCGCTTGAAATTTATCTCGAATAAATATATAATAGGCTACACGTAGCGCATGCGATTGTCGATAACGATTCGTTCTCCAAAACTGAATTATTTAATAAGAACGTCCGGGAGCAAGTGGAAAAGCACAAAATATAGTATTTTCCTAAAATCGAAATTTTTTTTTACTACATATTTTATTAAATTTCGTGACACAAGGGTAATTAAGGAAGAATTAAGTTTTTTTTTATAGATACTGTAATTACGTAACAATAGGGTGAGAATGGTAGAATTTGTTACGAAACATTATATGGCACACTGGAAATCTCGTAAATATCCAATATCGTTAATTCCTGCTTCGTACGTATAAACACATGTATTCTTAAACGGACTTGGCAGTTCGCCAAGGGCTTTGCTAGAAATATTGAGCTAATGACTGCAGGATTGAGTTAATGAGTTTGAGAGCCATTCAAGATACGTTAAGCTCACTAACGAGGTCTCGCTATTTGAAAATGAATTTTTCGACAGCCCAAGCTGCACTGCGGTTACGGATCGTCACGAGTCTCCGACCTTTATGTATAGCAGTTCTTGCTAATTTACATAGCTCCGAGGCATTAATTTTATTGCATTCAAATTTATATATATTTTTACTACCACCCACGACAATGGCCCGAGATAAAGTGTAAAATTAAATTTGAAACTTTTGACATCGAATTGAAACATTTTTTAAATCGAATTCAAGTGAAAATTTGATAAAAAATTTTTCGTCAGAGAATAATTTGTTTCTTAGGGCTATGATCAACGATGACACCTCGTGACCTTTCTTATAGGCGAGATTATTCATCGCGCATTAAGAAGGAGGTCAGGCGTGGATAATTAAGGTCGCGCTGACCTGGCATCGTTTTGCATCGCGACGCGATTGCGTTCGGGCGTGCCGACTAATTTGTAAACGTTGCTTTCATAATTAGGTAATATGTCAACGACGTTTGGGTACCTTAAGAAGCCGCTATAGGCCCTTTGATATTCCAGTGAAACTTATAGTGAGGATTCTACAATTTTTATTCCAACGTATTTATATGCGGCACATGCCTGTACAGTCTTTGGTGCTTTTATACAGCAGACTACTAATGCTTCTTTGATAAATATGCCCGACGTCTAATCACTCTATAAATTCACTTTGAAAATAATTAAGAGGTCGATAAGACGTTCGCCTTGTTCAGGATCGATATTACCGATCGTGGAATCGTTCCCATCGTTCCCATTTTACGACAGCAGGTGTTCACATCCTCCGAGTTCGTAATCTTCCATAAGTATTTCAAGTGTCTCTCAGGACCGCCATTACGGCATCCGTTAACGAGCTGACGGCGTTCACGTAAATCAAACGGAACGTGACGTTTCTACGTCGTGTTTATACATACAATTAGATGTCAAAGAGTACCAGCTGCGAGAGGAATCTGACCCCATATCGTTAAAATTCAAAATAATAAAAATCCAAAATACTCGATCAAAGTGGAATGAACAATTTCATAGATTCCTTAAGACAAATATCATTTTTAGACAAAAATCATACTGACTGTACAATATTGTCGAAGAAATAAATTTGAGAAAATTAAAAAAAAAAATAAAAATTTGCTATAAAAATTTTTTTTTGTAAAATTCAATTTTTCCTTAAATTATACTCACTTGAAATCGTTCACTGCAATGCTTACTGATTATCGTTCAGACCTGTATGGATTATTGGCTTTCCACTGGTAATTTAACTAACGAAACGTTAATTCTTTTTGTCTAGGGCTTCCAGCGGCCGCGGACCTGATTCTCTTTTGAACTCGGACCTGGGTCTTGATAAGCTACGCCCTGCTTCATCCCCCAGGTAAGCAGCTCAGCAAGTGTTTTTTTATTATTTTTCCTTCCCTAGTCGTCACCCACACGCAACTCCAATCCTCGGAGTCTACGGCGCTGTGAGAAACCCTCAAAAATTTCTACTGCCTATACTCAACCTTCAGAGTGCACTTCGCAATTGAAAATGTTCCTTGGATCGGATCCAAGAGAATTTTTTTAATTGAGCTAATCGTTCCAGGGGTTCATGAAATAAATTTTTCCTCGAGTGTCTTTCGACCCATTGAAGATGCTGCAGATGCTTTCACGGTCGTTCGACTGCGGCACGAATAGTAATTCTTGAACTGGAGGGTTCGTATTTGAATTTTCAGAAGGGGTTCACTATTGTGTTTATAGGGTCAATAAAACCTCCCATTTCTCCATCCTCTAAAAAAAGGAAAACCTCTGTGACCTGATTTCTTCGTATTACGATTTGGGTACTTTATATCTACTTCCCGGGATAACACCCTATTGTTCCGACCCTTGGCATACTCACGTACTCTGGAATAACAGTGTAACAATGGCATTGACTTTTCCTCGCTTGCTGTGACTTAGCCCATTGTTATGAAAATGGGGATGATTAATGATTAAATACAAATGGTTTTATAGTGCTTTAACTTTTCTTCGTTCAATTTCATTACTTAGCACAATGGATATTTCTGTTTGAAAATTCTTATCAATTATTCTTATCTATTAAATTTATAAAAGACTTAATTGAAAAATTAATTTTTTTAATTATTTTTCTTTCAACGTAACCAAAAAATGGGGTTGCCAAAATAATTTTAGACAAATTAATATAAAAAAATTCATAATCGCTATTTCGTTCCATTTCCAACTGATCTGTTTCTAAGAGTGTCGGTATATTTTTTTTTACCAACTCCTAAATTTCATTTTTCCACATTTCAACCGAGTCACCTTCCTTATCGACTGTTGCAGACAAATTCACCCCCTGTACGGTGAGAAAGCAGGGCTTCTAGGATATTGCGACACAGTCGGTAACGCAGAGAGCTTTCCACCAGCCCCTAACATCGTGGTGGAGGGCGGAAGAATAGAGTTCGTGCGCCCCTCGCAAGATGGCACCACAACACATCGCCGAAATACCATGTCCCGAGCTTCGCAAACTTTCACCGACCAAACCGAAAAATCGGATCCTGCTAAGGTAAGTTAATTTCAAAATTTCCCCCCAAAAAATACCCAGAACATCGTTACACAACAGACAAGAAAACTTCGAAAAAGTAAACAATCCGTATCGAATAAATAATTGAAAATAATTACCAACGGCACTTGGGGATGATAACAAGATTTTATCAATGACATAATAACATCTGTCAGTAACGTGAGCTGGTATAATGAAATTTTAAAGTGGCTACCACTTCCTCGCCCAAAACGTTATTGCTCGAACGAAAGCGTGATTAATTGATAACAAAAAGTGGGCTCAGTCGATAAAGAAGACGAAGGTGCAGCAGAGCGAAAGATCGTTCTTAAGTAAGAAGTCGCTTTAACTGACAGTTAAAAAGGATCCATTAACCGCTGCAATCACAATCATAAAATTGCATTAAGACGAAGCAAATGAAACTTCCCGTTGATTCGTCATAGTCATACATATTCATATACTTGTACTTATACAGCGCCTGTGCATACGCAAGGGAATTCCAAATTGGAATCTTTCATATTCACCGTACAGAATGCCAATGAAAATTGTTTTATCTATCAGAGCATTTTATGACGTTTGATTTTCAATGCTACCAGTCACCCGTAAAAGCTATTCGCGTTGAACGACCGAAACCCTTTACCCTTCGTGTTGTATTCATTAGACGTAATTGATTTTCTCGATAGGGCGAGTACCGATTTACATATTAAATTGGATCTCACGCTGTTCGCGCGTCGCGACGCCCGCCAATACGATACGATTATGCCAAAATTAACGACATTTTGTACACGTTCACTTCGTCTGCTATACATTTAAACGTAATTCTAATGACTTAATGAAATGTCGCGAAGACACGAGTTCCCGTGGCCTTTGTTAGGCGTATTAAACTCCCTTGTTAATATGGTTCACTTTAGCTCCCTCGCCACCTTTTGGTGTACGAATTTACACCCTTGAGGACGTACACGTATGCCGCCTAAAGTTTCGTCTTTTGTAACTGCTTAATATGAATGACTTGACTTTTTCTGTATTTTTTTTTCTTTTTTTTTTTCAATTGAAAAAAGCAAGGAAAAATTTTCGTTCCAAACGTTTTTCCTTACATTGCAATTTTTATCGTGAATATTCTTCCGTATTTTATGACCCGATATTCTGCATGCATCGTGATAATAATTTGAAAGTCAAAATCGCTTGGATATCGATAACCGTGCAATCAATTATTTCGTAACGTTAATTTATATACATGTACAATAATATTAAATTGGCAGGTTGCTGAAAATTTATGATTTTCGTGTAGACCTTATATTTTGAACAATACTGAAATAGATTTATTATAGAAATATGAGAAAATAAGGATCGGATACACGTATTAGGTCAATACGACATTATATTTCCAATAATTTATTATTATTCAATTATCAGTCGCATCTACAAGGGAATATTGTAATTTTTGTAAATTACGGTAAATTCAAAAATTTTATTTAAAAAAAATGGTTGCGATCGGTCATATGTTTCACGAATGAAATAAAAAACATGTATTCTTTCCATTCGTTTCGATAAAACTGCGCGATTAAAAAGAATCCAATGTTTAAACCCCTTCGTGTTAATTTAATTAGTTCCACACTTTGAGCTCGTCAATTAGCATATTAATTCGCAGCGGCTTCCCAGTTTGAAATAACAATAGTGCGCTCACCGGTGCTTCCGTCATTGCCTCGCTACGCCATTCCGCCCGTTTGAATGTGAATGGGACTCCTCGTGCACAGGAGCCCTTGCTCGCCCATACAGCGTATAGGAACGAACGAGTGTAACCATAGCCCGTATAGCCGGCATAGTCGGGGTAGTCAGTCTATAGTCTGCTGGCATAGCCATAGTTTTAACACGGAGACATCCACCGCAACGCAAAACCAGCAGCAGCCGCACCGACAAATGCAAATTATCATAATTGAGTCGTTATGCAAAGAGCGACTCCTCGCTTTGCTATTGCGGTTTATTCAAATGTTGCATTTCTTCAGTTTGGTTGGGATGACAGTCAATATCGCACGGTCGACTCTCGCAATTTAAAGTTGACTGTCATCAAATGCCTAATATATGTATATAATGCAAATATTTGAAAAAAAATTATTTGCAGCGTAAATACCAGGTTAGGTTCGGCAATGCAATTTTTTAATATATTTTTTTTAAATATACGGTGCAACTGATTATCATTGTTTTTTGATACTTTTGTACAAATCTAAGTTGTCGCTTCGTCGAGAACGGATTTTCGTTGTTTGTGGAAATGACTTTCCTTGACTTTAATATTCTTGAGTTTGCTCCTTCACTTAATCCACGGCTATTCCGTCCTAAGCCCTCAGGTACTGTTTGCTAGGGGTCGGTCTCGCGTAATACTTGCACTGGCTCTCTTTGGAATACATTAGCATGAGCAATGTGCATTTCCTTTCCGCCTTACGGTTCTATGTGCTGTTGGTGAATTAATCGGAAGTTCTTAATAAGTAAAAAGCTGAGTGCATTTTTAAAAATGAAATTGACGTACATTTTATTTTGTACGAATCAAAACGTCATCGATCATTGACATTAACGTAACGTGAAGTTTTATCGCTCTTGTTATTTTTATTAACCGTAAAAATTTCCAGGAGAAAATTATCTCACGCTTTTCTTCCTTTAGCCAGAAAGTCAAAGTCGTAAAGATATTATCGCTCTCTCATTACCAAACAATGCCTGACATTTCCTGCTACCGAAATAACCTGATAAACTCTATTATAAGATCTAACGGTAATAGCCATTTTTATTAGCCACCCTTCCGGTTTTCCATAATTTCATGAATTTATGCAAAACAAATTGGAATTTCAATATAACAAGTATACCGTAAATAATTGTTTCACGGTACTGTAAGTATATCTATATATTATATAGTTTTTGTTTGTATTTGCTACGTTAGGAACTTCAAATACGTATAGTGTAGCTTGACTAGTCAAATTGTATATTGCGAGCTTTCTTTGAGTGACTATATTTTTAACTGACAGCCACGTCTCGCTGGCATTTGACAATGAACTTGTTGAGACTTTTAGAATATCTAAAGAATTGTCTGACAATTTGATTGCGCAGACAGGTAAAAGCTAAGCCATGAAAAGTTGCGCAAAACATCGAGGGCGGGCGCCACAGCTCTATGACACGAAACACCGGAGTCATTGGATTTGAGATTAGCATTTAGATGTTTCTCGCACGGAGTAAATATAATTGTCTATGAATAGTCAATGCGACGCTCGCATTTGTCATTGGATACATAACGTGCAACGAACTATATCTCAATGAGCAAAGTCCATTAACAAATGATAGAATTCACGTTGACTGCCAGCAGAACAATTTTTCATAAGCTCGACGCCCACTAGGGTATAGAAAATAATACAATATTGTGCAATTCCAAAAATTGTAAAAAAATTATAGACAGATATTAATTTTTTTTTTTTTACAAAATTATGCTTATTACCAATGACACATTTTTTAAGGAATTTTGGTTATTGGTATCGCTATCGACACTTTTTTTTTTTTATATGACAATTCAATACGTGGTTATTCAGGACTATTTACCTGAAGGTCTTTATTGGATTTCTATTGATTCCCACGGTAAAACCCTCTTCGGGTAGTTCAGGTTCTGGATAACAGTGTTTACGAAATTGGGTATAATTGAATAGTGTAAAATAAGCTTGAATGAAGTTCGTCTTACGGATTGGTTTGTCTTTATTTGACTCGTTACTTACTCGAAATTGAAGGATTCTGGGATCCAGCGTCCAAAGATAAAAATACAGAAGAGATTTGGATGCGCGTCACATGTCCTGACAATAACTCGAGTCCTGGCGTGTCGTCGACAGCAATTCCCGTTAGGTTCGCTCGAGTAACAGGGGCTGCTGGAAAACTCGTAAACCTACTTCGATAGCAACTCCACCGTAAAATAGAAACATTCAAAGGATTTTCGGAAACGAAATACTGTAATTGACCCCAAATCCAGAGTACATTCCAAGAAAGTTATAGATACATAATAAGACACGGTAAGTCTCTATTGAGCTATTTCACCAAAGTGTTCCTTTTCATCGTGCAATTCCAACAGTATCGAGCATTCCTATCGATTTCACATATATACCCAAATTACTACTATCAACACAAAAATAAGTCTTTCATATATTTAAATAGGAAAAAAAATATAAAAATAAAAATTCAATGTTACATATACATATATATATATATATATATATATTGCATTTTTATACTGGTATACGTAGCTATTGCACAATGCGCTTAATTGCATATACACTGAACATATGGAAAATAAAAATTCAATGTTACATATACATATTCCTATCGATTTCACATATATACCCAAATTACTACTATCAACACAAAAATAAGTCTTTCATATATTTAAATAGGAAAAAAAATATAAAAATAAAAATTCAATGTTACATATACATATATATATATATATATATATATTGCATTTTTATACTGGTATACGTAGCTATTGCACAATGCGCTTAATTGCATATACACTGAACATATGGAATTCCATTGTTTATGTAATTGGCTTGATATTAAAACCGAATTATTCGTAATAATATGTCTGCTTTTTCTCTAATTTTAATAATCTATATGCAATCCTGTATCATATTAAATTTATACATATAAATTTAAGTCACGTAAAAATTTATCAAATGGATTAATTAGACGAGTCTAAAGAATGGACAGTTTCATATCCGCCCACAGGACTGATATCGTTCTAACCAATCATGACGCATTTTGAATGACAGGACTAATAAACGTCATAAACGAAGCTGCAGGCTACTATCGTCGAAAATATCAAACGCGTCGGCCAATAAATCCTCATACGAACATACACATATACAGGGTGTCCCAGAACTACTTTTGGACCGGAAAGTGCGCGATGGCTGGAGGTGCCTTGAGTACCCTCTCGCAAACCATTTGCCAAAATTCGCAATAGTTTTTAAATGAGAAGCATTTAAGTG